AGAGGTCGACTACTGGTCACGGCTCTCAAATAACCAAATGACTTGCAGTTGGAAATTTGCTGAAAATTTAGGAAATAGAGACGACCCATACATTCCTAACCATTATATGTTGATGAGGAATTTCTAATAGCGATCTTGAAGAAATTTATAAATCTCAAATCTAGCGTTCGGTTTACGCTGACTCAGAATACATGTCTTTAGAAAGTCCGTAATATCACACGGGATGTATTGAATGCGCTTTAATTGCAAAAAGAAAAGAAAAAAAGAATGGAAAAGAAATAAGAACTACATCGTAACAGACTGGCAGGGGTAGTACTAGTTCGAATTTAAGTCTTTCCTCTTTAAGAACTGTTGATAGCTAACAACTACTCAGCGAAGTGGAAATAACTAGTGGTAGATGTTTACAAAGCCGCAAAATGGCGCTTTAAGTATCCACCATTGATGCTGATGTGAGTAGTAGTTTTGGTGTATACTAAAACAGTGAGATAATATAGCATTAAAATATTGTGGAAACTCATTGATTCCTACAACGATTCTTTCTCAATATTGGCGTAAGAGGAACGCATGTAATCCAACCTTCGAATCAGACATTTGAATGCATGGGTGATATCGCACATTATCAGTTTTATCCTTTAAAGGCTGCATTAAGTGCCGCTCTCACTAAAAGCGGTCCTCTCGACTTCCCTTTTAGTTGTTCTCCAATTCTCTTTTTTCGCGTCGCCACAAGCCAAAAATGATTTTTGGCCAGTACACCCGTGTGGACAGCGATCGAAAGTGTAAATTTCACAGATTTTGTCCAGCGCGCAGCGATTGCAATAATATAGCTCACGGAGAGAGATTCTGAGGTTATAAAAGTAAAGAAAATTTTGTGTACAGAAAAGTGTAAGATGTAATATAGAATAGAATATGAAAGTAAAAAATCCGTTGTGAACGACTTTGCACGGACGAGTTTCCCCAACAAATTAAAGTTGAAATTAGGAGATCCTCGCAGCTAAGAACACTACTGAAACGAGTAGTTGTAAATAGGACCTGAAAAAAAAAAATTTCAGGCCCGTACGGGATTTGAACCCATGACCTCTGCGATACCGGTGCAGCGCTCTACCAATTGAGCTAACAAGCCAACTGGGAGCTGGTCAATGAATTAGGTCTAAATAAACATCCAAGTGAATGAAGATTTTAGATATATGAAAATTCACATATTTGCACTGCGGTGGAAAGATGAAATTAGGAGATCCTCGCAGCTAAGAACACTACTGAAACGAGTAGTTGTAAATAGGACCTGAAAAAAAAAAATTCAGGCCCGTACGGGATTTGAACCCATGACCTCTGCGATACCGGTGCAGCGCTCTACCAATTGAGCTAACAAGCCAACTGGGAGCTGGTCAATGAATTGGGTCCAATTAATTAAATTATATATATATATATATATATTATATATATATATTAAATTATAATTAATTAAAGTTGATTAAACAAGCCTTTCACGTGAAACGTGAATAAAGGAAACAAATCCTCTAAATAAAATTCAATGCAAATCCAGGACCGAAAGGCTCAAAACCTGTCTGAAATAAGGAATCTATAGTCTTGAGCGCGACAAAAGACCGTGGTTTGCCCAACCTTCAATGATTTGCGAAGCTAGAACATGTTTAATTTTTCCTTTGGTTCTAGCCCTACCCCACTACCAAAACGTACTCGTAGTATATGCGAAAAAAGTGAGATAATATAGCACAAAGAGATTATTTTAACTCCTATTACCCTGCAACGATCACAAGCGCAAATCTCGCGTGCGTTACTCCGGGATAACTAAGCATCGCTTTGCCGTCGTATGTAAGCCACTTGGGATATTGAGAGAACGCGAAAACAATTTGTAAACAATGACATGCTACTGAAGAATGCTTCAAAATAGTCTGTGCATAAAAGCTTTTGAAGAAATCAGTTTTAATGTCTTGCGGAGCTTTTTTATGATGAAAAACAAATCCAGTTGTAGGATTTTAACTGGTGAAGTTTATTTTCATCGTTAGGACTTAACTTTTAATTCTTTGATAACGTTACTAGACCACACCATGTCTGAGGGCGGAGAAATCGAAAGACAACAACATCAAGCCGTGTTTCGTTTGTACTGATTCAAACGTCGTCCAACTATTTTGTTTACTCGCGGTATACTATTTTCCTTTAACAAAATTAGTTTAAGTTGTCTCAGCTTGGATTAACATTGCCATGGAGTCGTCGTTTAAATTTACAAAAGTGTTTAGAATGGTTTAACTTGGCAACAATTATCAAGTGAAAGTTGAAATCGCCGACAGCAAACGGAACTGCCTTGAGTACACATGTACATTCGAAGGGTTTTTTTTTACTTGTCATTTAGATAAAACTGAAAAAAACTGAAAACTCGGTAAACTGAATTTAAAACTTAAAAAAAAAGATATCGTTAGAAAACTTCAATCTTTGTAGACACTTGGAAATTGCAAGAGTTGACTGCCGGTCACGGTTCTCAAATAATGAAATGACTTGCAGTCGAGACAACCCATACATTCCAAACTATAATATGTTGATGAGGAACTTCTAAGCGATCTCGTAAAGATTTACAAACCTCTTATCCAGCGTTCAGTTACGTTGACTCAGAATTATTTCACTCAGAAATTCCGTGATACCATGCGGGATGTTTTGCATGCCCTTTAATTCCCAAAAGAAAAAAAAAAAAAGATAAGGAAAAGGAAGAACAATTACATCGTAACAAATTGGTTGGTGTACCACTTGCTCGAGTTTAAGTCTGTCCTCTTTTTAAAAAATTCTTGATAGCTAACAAGTATTCAGCGAAGTGGAAGTAGGTAGTGGTAGATATTTATCAAACCGCTGAAGATATTTACTAATGATGCTGATGCAAGTAGTTGTTTTGGTGTATACTAACACAATGAATGAAAAACTAACTATTTAAACTAAATTATTCCTGCAACGATTACAATGCTTTCGGGCGCAAATCTCCCAGCGGTGAAAAACTGAGAATATTCGGAGTGTGACAAGCTAATCAGAGCGCCCCTTCTCTGACCATTATATATTTCTATATACCTCTCACGAGTTCTGAAAACCATCAGAATTCCTTTTTTTTTTTTTTAACGTACACAGGGCATGACAAGTCATGCCCTGTGTAAGTTAATCGCCAAAGAATATCAAGGGTCTCATACTTAACTGCACGGATATATTTTGTCGTAGAATGAATATATTTTGTGTACCTTTGTCTTAGCACGTTACTTGGAAACCACAAACGCTTGTGCTCTTTTGTCCCTTCAGAGTTTTATAGTTAAAAAGGCGTGGAGTTCATTATCCTTCGGTAATTCGTGTCGTCAGTCGTGGGTCTCAAAGCCCTTTTCCATTCTCAAGTACCAAGGTTTTTTAAAAAGTTTACATTATGGAGATCATCAATTTACGCACATGCATCCTCACCTTCCTTTGCTTATCCTGGCTTATCGCGTTCGCGTGAATGTATTTTTTTCAGTGTGTTCTCGCACCTTTACCTATCGCTTAGGGCGGGGTACCTTTACGTGCCTATACTGTTGCGCGTTCGCATTCAGTGTTAAAACTAGAGTTAAGTATAGCTTCTGTTTTTAAAAAGATGGTAATTTCATGTAAAGGTAACTTTGTGCCAGTCGATCCGATTTGATAATTCTAATCTTATTAGGTTTTTTTTCAGACTTTCCATTTGTTAACGTTTTGAACATTAAAGTTGGAAATAATTTGCAACAGTTGCTTTGCTGATGGCAATCTTATCCTTCACGGCATATCAATGTCTGGGAACTTCTTTTGTAAAATGATTCGAGCATTATTGTGTTTTCTTTAGCTCAACTAATAGGTAATGCCATGTATTGTTAGGAATACTTCGATAAATTTGTCGTTGTTGTTATTGTAGTTGCATAAAATTGCAATTTGGCCAACAGTCAGCCACTGGATTGTAATACATGTAACATTTAAAACTGATAAAAAATGAGATGAAACACTGACAGCAATATTTTGGGTTTCTCTTAAAGAACCGTACTAAAGGTTCAATATTTTATTGCGCAAAAAATAAATAACTACAGCTATTTCATGAGAGGTCATACTATAACTTCTTAAACACTAACTGTTGTACAGGATCACGCGATACATTTGGTACCTATTGCTATATAAAAAAGAACTACTTGTGCAAACCACTTTTGGCAATAGCACAATCAAATGAAATTGCAAATTGACTGAATTGTGACAGTACATAAAAATCTAAATACAATATTCTTATTAATCTAACATGTCATATTATGTGATCACTGATTTATTTCAGTCTCTAACCAAAATAATTGCTGTTGTCAACTAATTCAGCTTATCATGATCCAACTTAGGATGTTTCAGAATGTAAATATCTAGAAATGAAAATGTATCTTGAGACTCAGTTTTGGATTCAATCATGTGCAGATGTTCAATGAGAAAGTACCCACACCAAATCCACTTTCTGCTATCTGTTTTCCTTTCCATAAATTAAAGCTCCATAATGCTAGACTCTAGCTGAGTTTGGTAATGGTAAATACTTTCATGAACTTTTTTCTTGCTGATGGCGCAGAAGTGAAACTTGATATTTAACAGACACAGCTAGACTGGAATCTTCCCACTGGCACATAAAAGGCATGTTCTGGAATAACTGACTCGAAATGATTCGCCTAAATCTCTACAGGTTTTGAATACCTGTTACACTGAGGATGCCTAGCATACCATTCAACTAATGCTAGAAGGTGGGTGATCTTTTGAGATTTTCCATTCTCCATTTTGATAACCACATCATGTTGCAGAAAGTCCCTAATGATAGCAGATCTACTGGAGTCATCAAAGGCTGTTAGTTACAAGCTGAGTCTGCTGCACAACGGTATCCTTTGTATAAAAGGTGCTTGAACTTATCACAGAAGCTGGAAACATGGATGATTCTACCACCAGCATACATGGCCTCGTAAGTCTTCTGTAGTCTCCTCACATCATCATTTTCAATTGCATCCCCTTTTGATTGGTGGTAGTGGTACTTCAGTCTCAGTTTTACTAAGGTTAACATTCACTGGACTGCCAGTTTCAGATTCAACCATGTTGCAGAACTGCTGGACACGGACACTTGCTTCTAATAAAGTTCCCTTTTGCTTGCCTTCACAATCCATAAGTTGCTGGAACTCTTCCATGCTTCCTGGAAATATAATTTGAACTCCTGGGGATAATAAAATTAAAACCAGTTAACATATGGTTCATAATGTATTCTGATACATCTAGGCATTATGCAAAGGCTTACACAAAGCAACATGCCACAAACAGGGTATCAGGCCTCTGGCAGGTGCAAGGTTAAAATTAAAGTCCACCATAAAATTTTGATAATAATAAAAAGTTATGTGATACTTTTGTGGACTTATTATTATTTGTTTTTAATTTGACAGTCAGTCGTTTGGTCGGTCGGTCATTCAGGTCTGGTCAAAAGCTAATGAGTTTTGCTACTACACTGTATAAGTGCTTTGTTGCCACAGACCTAATGGCCTGTCTGCTTTAAACTTTTATATTTATGTAACATGTATACATGTACATATATGTTTGAATATGGAGGTTTGAGTGTTCACATAATTTTTTTTTATTTCTTGAAGAATATGGTGTGACTGCATTCTATCAAAATGTCAAGAGAGGAAAGACCAGTTTGAAAGAATTAATGTTCATTTTTTAAAATTTATTAGAGAAGAGTTTAATACCTACCAATATTAACATTGTTTGTATGGTAATCTCCCATAATTCCATTGTACCTCTCAAATGAGAAGCACCAAAAGGAGAAAACAGGTCCATAATCAAGTATGCCATCCTTAAAATGGCCATGAAGATGCATGTTTGGTGTGCACTTCTCCTTCCCCGCAGAGGGGCTTCTAAACATTACACAAAATCGCATCAGCTTTTGGTCAGCTTCCAAACTCTCCTCCTTGGTGATAACTTTTTTGCAAAGCAGTTGACAAGCATGTACAAATGCTGTCCACATTCCATAATGTCCACTGGGTATTACTCCCTTTAAAGCAAAAAAAAGGAGTAAATACATACCCAGTTCTTCCACTGGTCACCAGTGAATCCCTTAAATCCTTCAGAAATTTTGCTTTGGATGCACACAATTTCAGATGGTGGCTTAACAAGACTGACACGTTTCTGTTCTCTCTCCAAGTCAGATTCACTCAAAATTCCCATTTCAGTCCAAGTCTTAAGTACATGTTTGGCACTCCCAAGAGGCAAGTTGTGCATGGGATCAATCAGTGCAAATCTTATAGCATCATAGTATGGAAGCTGGAACAGGACAGAGTAATGTGCTCCACTTGAAGAGGCAAATTTCTGGGCATTACTTGGTGTTTTAGCTTGGCAAACTTTCTCTGCAGATGCTCCATGGTCTTCATTAGATTGCTGTTCCCAGCTTTCTCTATCAAATCCTGAGAAATCAGGTTTATCACCAAATGATGCTCTTGGAAATTTTTTAAAGCATCTGCTGCATCCTGAAAATATAGTAAAACACCATATAAACAATGATGCCAGTGCAACAAGCATGTATTTACACACACAACAAACATATACCTGCCAACCTTTTTTTGAGCCAAGGGTGCGAGATTTTTTTATCCTACAAGTGCCAGGATTTTTGATGGAGAACCTAATCATATCTGGAGATAATCCAAAGACTTCGAATGCAGTCCCAAACAATTCCAAACTTCCTAACACATGAAAACACAACCTCATCTCTAGCACTTCCCTTCTAAAAGTCAAAGGATGTATTAGCCAAACTTTTCTGCTAGGTGTGAGGAATTGGTCAGCTGGTGAGGGCTGACTTGAGATCGATTATTTTTGATTCCCAAGACATGTGAGTTGGTAGGTATACATACACAAATACAAAAAAAAAAAAAAAAAAATAACCAAGGAGTTATTATTAAATTTTATAAAACACTTTAGTTATAGTGCATCTTTGAGCACTCACCTTTCTTTGCAGTATGGCCAATAAAACCTCCACATTTCGAAGTTGCTGGTATATCACTTGAAAAAGCTAAGATAGCAGCTCAGAACATCTCCCCAGATCCAGAAATGTTTGTGTCTAAGATAACTCCATCCCACAAGTCAATAAGGTCATCTACTAACGGCTGCAGGAAGGAATTGATATAATGCTTAGGATCCTTTGGCCCAGGAATTATTCCAACAACAATAAGATTTTCAGGTTTGAAGCGTTCCTTTTTTGGAAGGTTCATTACAACCATGTAAATGACACAAATGGATTTTGAACCATGAAGAGTGGGCTGAAGCCAGTCAATGTTCAACATGAGAGCAAAGTTATTTGGTATAGCAAGAAAGGGCTCTCCATCCACATACTGAAACTCTTTCCAAACTCTTCCTTCAAAACAGTCTCCAAGAACATTGTCTGACAGCTGAGTGGAACAATTTCTCCACTTTTCACAGTTTTCCATGAAGTTTGGCTTGTTAATAAGGTCTTGTAATGAGTCAGTAACCTTTTTAAAGCAGTAAACCTGCCTAGGATACAAGAATGTCTTTCCTGCTCTTGACCTCATAACTTTCATCAGAACGGAACCACATGGCCTCCTTCGGGCTTAATGTGGGTGGCGTGGATAACTCACATGACTGCATTTTGCTGATACAACCTCACCATTTGGCCTTTGGCAAACACATTCATCAAAATTATAGAGTTTAACACTTAAGGCAAACTGCATTTTTAATAAAACTGTCCTTCTGAAGGCCAAGATTTTTTCGAATCATGTACAATGTTTCTGGGATGATCTTGGCAAAGTTAATAAGAACTTCTGCTTGCATCATCTTACCAATACCAGATAAGAACAGCTTGAAAAACTGTAAGAGTAGAACAATAGCCCTGTCTGCAACTTTAACAATGCCTGCCACAGAAGTAAGAATAAAAGCAAAGCCCTCTGTTCTGTGCAATCACTTCCTGGTTCCTTCTGTTGACCACATTTTTTTTGCACTGTTTTCCATTTCATGAGAATACTCAAAGTTCTGTGTATTGTTCTCTACATCATCCTCCTGAAATGAAATAACAGTAAATCAGAAACAATAGCAATAAATAGTACTTAAGGTTCAGTATACATGTACATCATTCTGCATGTATTTACATCACTTGTGAATAAAATGAATATCAAAATATTTCACTAAAAGAAATTTTACACATAAAAGCAGGGCAGTAGCCACACTGTAGCCTGAGGCAAGATGAGGCACTTGCCTCATCTAAATTTTTACCCAAGATAAAAAAGTAAAACCTAGCTTAAGTTGGAAAAGTAATCCCCAGAAAACATTTTTCTATTGGTTTATGAGAGATTAAGTTACCTAAGAAGAGTGATTTAAGAGCAAAAGCCATTTTATGAGGGTCATTAAGAGAGATGGCAATGTTATGATCTGCTCTTTTTGTATTAGTTTGCCGTATGAACCAATAACATTGTATAAACTAACCAAGAGTTGCTGTTCTGATTGCATGGAGCTTTCGTTTTTCCACTGAGGACTCCTCTGGTAATATTTCATCATCTACATCATTTTCACCACCACTAGAATCTCCTTCTGAGAAGAACTGCCTGTCTTCATCATCCCAACAAGGAAGAGCACCTTCATTTTCTGAATCAGAGTCCATGTCTAACTCAAGCTCCAAATTTTGACTAGAGAATCCACATGCAATATCACCATATAGTGTCTGATGCTCATAGAAGGTACTTTTGCTCACTTTTCTTGCAGTGGTTACAGTAGAACTTGTCACCAATTCTAGAAGTGACTAACAACACAAGATGAATGTCAGATTGATCAGCATCAATGAGCTGATATACAGTGAGGCTCCTTTTACAGAGCAACATGCAATAGCATTGCTACAGGTGTATTTCCTGGGGTATAAAATGACAACCTTGACACACAAACGGATGTGTGTACCCAAGAGTCAAAAAGTAAAACAAAAGCAAATAAAGAAAAATTATTATTATTAAAAGGTCAATTTGCATCAAGCTGTTTACATATAACATTGTAAAACAACAGACTGTGTTTTTCCACATCTGAATGTCATTTTCCGCAGAGAACTGAAGTACTGTACATTTAATTGATTGGTGGACCTTATGTTGATCCATAGGAAAAAGTCAGAAAAATCCTGGTCATGCCCCAACAAAGTTTTGAATGTAATTACATAAACACAGCCCATAACAGACAGCCTGGACAGAGCTGTAAAAGTACTGTGCATGTGGCATTGTTGTTAGGGGCTGTAACCTGTAACCTGTAATACCTGTTACAGCCGAGCTTAATTGATATTACAGGTGATAGTTACTATTTAAAAAACTGTTGGTAATGCTTTCAGATGTTCCAGCAGAGATCTTTGACTCTTGTTTTTGCTGTAAAATTTTGGTTTGTGTTCAGGAGATATGTCTTAGCACTCTTACCAGTCGGTCTTTGGCGAAGGTTTAAAGCGCGCAAGTTCTACCTAAGTCTTAACTGGAGTAAAAAATGGCGCTGTTCATTTTTTTTTTTCGAAAATTCCACCATTTCACGTACGTGTTGCTATGGTTTAACGTTGTCGTCCCCAGTTTCCCCCACGCGCGAGTCTCTACCATGCGCAGGGGTTTTTCAGTTCTGTCCAGCCCGCGCAGAACAAGATTCTTCCTTTTCTCAAAACGGCTTAACTTTGAACCATCGCAAATAATCAAGAGTATTATATCTTGTGCGACCCGGGCTTAAAACACTATGAGGACTGAAGAAAACTTTTCAGGAATTTCAACTATCGTCGACCTATGTTGAGAAAGATCAACCTCATTATTAACTCAACTCACCTTTCACGTTTAATCTCTGCAAACTGGACTTTTCACATATGTGATCATAATAGAAGCTTTCCCCAAACCAAGAAGCGTAGCTTTCACAAAATTTCCTTCTCAATTGATCCGTACTTTCACCTATTATGCTGCCTTGGTGAAGAACTCTGAGCAATCGATTAATATGCTGCTGAGTTAAGTGCCGACAGTCGTGCCGACCAAATGCGTGACATTCAATGAGAAAGCGCTTATTGGTTAGTCTTACTCACGTGGTTGCTCTAGAAGCAGATTATTGGCTTGCTCAGACGAAATAGAAAGGAAAGAGAAGCGTCTCTCGACCTTTGGACGCGTCACATAATCTTAGCTGGACGATTTTAGTTTTGACATCGATGTGGCTGCATCTTTCTTCCGGAGTGGTAATACCAGTACCACTTTGAGTCGACGACCATTCGGCTCAAGCTCATCAACCGGCGCCCGATCAAGCGCAGTTCCATCCCATCCAGAGCCTTTACGAGAAGATTCTATTAGAAATCGGGAGAACCTGGTTGTCTTAAACCGAGAAAATTCGACAGTTGTTCGACACAATCAAAGAACTGGGGGATATAGTAAAGCGGCAAAATGCTAAACTAGACAGTTTGAGCGTGGAACTGGAAAACGCTTGTAAAGAAGTGGCTGAGGTGAAGACCGAACTACAGACTGTACGACACAAGCTCGATCGCCAACCTCAGTCGACTGAGAAGGAGAATATCCACCGTGGGCCTGTTCCAAAGCAACTAAAGGTTTGTGCAAATTTTTGTTCCAGCACTGTAGCAATAGGCGTTTCCTTTTAAGCTTCGATTCTGGTATGGGAAGTATTTTAAGCTTGTGGGACAGTATTCCCTTCTTTGTGATGTTAATACCGCATGTCATATGGCTTGTTTGAAATTAAGCCGAGAATAATAAATACTCGGGGGGCGGCCTCCAAGATTGCTCCAGTGTATGAAGTTTTGAGAATGTCAGACATCATTTGCCAATAGTGCCTGAAAATCAACTTCTGCAATTTAGTTTTAAAGCTACTGAAAAAGGTTACTCCACATAGTTCAGTATAGATTGTTTTTTTCTGTAATAATTTACAAAAATGTCCTTAAGTTAAAGTAGATGTTATTGTTCATTGAGGTTAAATAGATAAATGAGCATTTAATCATTTTTCTCATGATTTAGAGTCAGACTATCAAAAGTTTGATTGGGTGTTTCGACAGCTACACTGCTAGTCTTCTTCATCAGGTGATGAAGTCAAATGTTTATGTGTTGCTATATGTAGCACCTTGGTGTTTTGTCATTGGTACATTTTGGCCCTCCATCATTGGGATATTTTGATCCTCATTATTATTCCAACCAGCAGATGTTGTTCTCCCGTTGGTCAGCTTTTTTACTGACTAGCTGTTATGCTTTTTGATTGTGGGCATCCATGCTTAAGGAATTTAAATTCTGCTCTCATTATTGATTAAGAAGCCATCCACATAAAACTTTACCCTAATAACATCAATAGAGAGAGTGGGATCAAAATTTCTGAAGTGTGGATGGCTACAGTTAAAAAGCATGACAGCCGGTCAGTAACAAAGCGGACCTATGAGGGAATAACATCTGCTAGTAGGAATAATAATGAGGATTGAAATTCACCAAGGACAGAGTACTACAACGTACCAATGACAAAACACCAAAGTACTACATATAGTGACATGTAAACATTCAAACATGCTGCCTGACAAAGACTAGCAATGTAGCAGTAGGAAACATTGCTGTCAAACTTTTGATAGCCTGACTCTATATCGTGAGACAAATGATTAAACATTTATTTCTTTATTTGTCCCTAAGTTGTTTGTTTTTGTAAATAAAACATCTTGTATTCTGGCTAGAAATTTTAAACCACACAATTGTAAGCATAATTTGTTACCCATGATATTTTTAGAATTTGAACTTAACTCCCTTATTTCACTTTTCACCTTTGATTCCACATACACTGTTCTTATAAGAAACGTTAATGTTCTTATAATTAATTTTGTTTGAATTTAAGGGTGATGTGCACTTGTTGCACAACAAACAAGAAGTTGAACTTTAGTTTTGTGGAAGTGAAGGGTGAGTAAAAGATATCTATTCAGGATATTAAGAGTTCATCTGTGGAATGTTTTGGAAATGCACCTATCATCAGCCATCTCCTGGAGGGGGGAACCTTGGTTAAGGGAGGGGACTTTGCAAAGGGTGTAGTCAAAGAACTTAATTTCCCTTTCTAGGTGGGGACAAAGGACAACCAAAGTTAAGAGATTGTCCCTCCTAGAGGGGTGGCACATTTCAGAACAAGAAGCCACATTAAAATTTGCAGGACAAATTAAAGCTTTGCTTACTTGTGACTGAAAAGGATTACTTTCACAAGACAAAAAAAGATTTTACACAATGCTTAATAGTCCGCCATTTTGATCCAAGCAAACCGCGAGGAGATGGAGAAGCCTGTATTCTTGTGTATTGTGGTCTTTTCTGTCATTTAAAACAACTTGAAGTGACTTGTTTCCGGCTCTCTGCAAAGTCCCCTGATTTTTCGCGATTGGCTGGCAAATGGGGAAGACAGGATTTTATTTGTCTGTGATTTTCCCTCAAGCATTTTCCTACAAGCGAACTTTGTTGGCCATGTGAATATCTTATTTTAGTCAAGATGCTGAGCAATTGGCCTTGTTTACTTTTTACATCTTCACAGATCTTGACAAAGTCTCAGTTCATAAACACACAAAAATTTTATCACCTTCCAAACAAGCTTGGTCACTAACTTAAACCTATATTTAATTTTGTTCATCTTTATGCACCTTTCTAACAAAGTATTACTACTATAACATTCCTTTGTAGCATTGATAGTGCCCACAACAGTGCTGTTCGAGGATTTCTTTGTGAGGAAC